GCCAAAACAACGCCGTTCAAAAAAAGGCGATTTAAAACAGCGCCCATACAAAAATAGCGCCAAATTGAAAATGACTGCAATTAGATTTTTCAACCCCAATGTTTTTATACTTCTCATAACAACTTGTGACTTTTGTTATTTTTAAAACATTTTTAAGCACCTTACGCGTGTTTTAACAAACCGACGGATTATTTCATCATCAGAATCATGTTTTATGGTCCATTTTCGATAAACCATGTGGCACTTTTTGTTTTTCATCGTTTTATCTTGTTTACTCTTCTTGGTACTTAATTTTGCATTTTTCAGATAAAAAAGAACGTCGACTGAAGGAAAAAGGTTGTTGCAAGTGATTCAACGTGGCTAGCGTGCAAGTGGTTCAACAATCACAGGTACTTTTCAGCAATATCGTTTGCGAAGAGTTTTTACTTTCTATTTGAGGTAACGACTTTGTTTGTTTGATCTAAAATAAATTTAATAAGATAGATTAAGCTACTTTTTACTCTTTTCGCAAAATTTTTATTTCAACATCTTTTTTTTTCATTTAGGAATGTCGCTATCTCAGTCGGCGTCGATAGTGACAGAGATTGGCCTGCTTCGATCACCGGAACGTCTCGTGAGTTGTTGTTATGTCGGGTCCCATAAACATTTACATTTAGGAGTTTTATTTCTTTTTACGATATGATAGTTTGCTCAACCACCCAGCTCCACACGCAAACGCAATGAAATTCCTTTGCAACTGATTGGGGAATCGATATGTTACGTCAGGTATATTAAACCTTCAACTTTAATAACAAAACTTGAAAATTTTTAGCACCCATTTGGAGTAAAGATGTGGATGTTTCATTTTCGTGCACGTCTCGTTCGACCGACACACTCCATTGAAACGTGAAACTCGTTTTTGATACACCATCGGAACAAACAATCCTGGCAAATCGTCTCAGGAATTCGAAAGCCTTCAAGCAATGCCCTCCGTTATTAACGAGTTACAAAGTTTGTTGTTTATCTTTGTTATAAATTTAATTTTGATTAAGCTTCGACCTTCGAAAAGTCTTTTGTTGGATTTGTTCAAATATCTGTTTCGTTCGACCGACACACTCCATTGAAACGTGAAACCTGTTTGATACAATCTGTCGTGGGAAACAACTTGACAAATCGTCTCAGGAATCTTTACCATTCTTTACTAAAAGTTTGTGTTTAATGTTTAGTTAATTTGTAAAGATTTAGACTCTTACTACATCGATGTTCCGCTTCCGCTATGTTGTTCGGGAAAGCTACCAGATGTTCAAGAAGACTTCGAAAAATGTTCAGATGCGACTACATCTTCAGCACATGACTCTACCTCATCACCTCAAATCGTCGAAAGTTTTTCACGGCCAGCGTGTAAGAAAAAGTTGCAGTTCAAGATGGATTTTGGGTAAGAGTCCAGTCGATCATTGAAAATCTTTATGTTGTTACATGTGTTAACTCCGTTGTTTCGTTTTTCATTTCGTTAATTGAATAAACAAGTCTTCATCTACTATTTTACTTGAAAATGCATAAAAACCAAAGCTATCGAAAACTCAAAAAAGCTCCAAAAAAGCGTGGGTTAATTCACATAAAAATCTTTAAAATTAACGCTGTTCGGGATGGCGCCGTTTTGAACGGTGCTGTTTTGATGGCGCTGCTCTTTGAACGGTGCTGTTTTTGATGGCGCTGTTTTTGAACGGTGCTGTTTTTGACGGCGTACTGGACTAGGTCTCTCTTTTGTGTGATACGTCTGCTCTTTGCTTACTCCTAATCTTATCTCTATTTTTATCCAATTGATCCACTTTTTGTCGAATTCTGTGAGGATTCACAAAGGATATCGAAAGATCGAAAAAGTGGATAAAAAAGACAATGTTACGGTGGAAAGAGAAAGGATTTATGTGGAAATGGAAAGGGATTTAGAAAATAGAAAATCTCTTCAAACCTCACTTTGTCCACTGCACGAGTATCTCTTTCCAATGGTGTTCACTCTTTCATACATCTAAACTGTTATCCCTTAATGCACATTCCACGATTTCCGAGTGTTTAAAACAGGAGACGCTTCAAATATGTGAAATGGAAGCTAACTTTATTATCTGGCATATTTAAAATATCGAAAATAGATATTTTTACTGATTATGCGGTCCAGGCCGCTCAGCCAGCTTTCTGCAACTCGGCAACGAAAGCCCAGCTCAATCTGGTTTTCCCAGGTCACCTAGGAAGCTATCCAAACATTTTAGACATATTTTAAGAAATCTTAAAGGTTACTATGTAAATATCGTGTATCTAGGCTATAATTAAAATATGAAAACTTACCGTTTTCAATCCGTGTCCTTCGTGTGGAATGACGAGTTTTTCAAAGGCGATCGCTCGTCCAACATCAAAGCCTAAAAGGCGTTTTTCAATGCACCAGAACACCTGTGTTTCATTTTCTCGCCAAAAGCACATCTCAAAGTCAGCTCGGAACTTTGTGGTCAAAGTTTGCAAATACCAAGTGGAGTTGATTCATTTACCTTTCTGGTAGAGTTTGATTCATCTAAAGACACCAATTATTGCTGGGAGAATTGAGTGCGCCAGAAAAGGCCACATTTCCACTATTTCCCTTGTATCTCACTTGTTGACAGGGCAACATTTGCTTGTCGATTGTGTTGGAAATGGGCGATCTGTTTGAGGGTGATGCCGAAACGATAGAATCTAGATGTTTACGTTGATTTCTCTAGCATATTCACTGTAAGGCCACTGTAGCTTAGCTTTACTGTAAAATGCTCCACTAGCAAGTATTTTTGAGATATCACAAAATAAACCTCTCCCCATTCGTCACACACAGTTGAGGATTTTCGACGGGATCGGGAAGCTCAAACTGGCCAATTGGCGAACCAAAAAGTAGGGTAAATAATAGAATTGATACTATTAAATTCTAATGTTATCAAATATTATCTAATATTATCAAATTTTTAACTGAAAAATCGTCTCTCAAACCTCTCTCAACAGTGCTATCAATCGATCCGAGTAATTCACATTTAAAGTGCTCGTTTTTGCTCCAAAATTATCAATTGAAAAATCGCAAGCGCAAAAAATCTCGACCGTAATCCTTTTCCTATTCTTGACTAAACGATAAAGCTAATCAAAAGCTACAGTAAGTCTATAAATCAAAAGACAAAAAACGCACTTGTCCTTTCTTCGTTTCTGGGGCAATCGAATCTGTCGTGCTGTCGATTGATTTGAATCGTTTCGCGACTCCTGGAAACTTTCTTGAGTTTAAAGTCTAAAAGGAATTTATTTTAGTCAAACTACCGTAACCCAACCGATTTTCAGTCGATTTATTCATTTATTACTTTTATCATTTTATTATCGTTTTTTATCATTTTTTATCATTTTTGCCAATTTAATTATTGTGGTTGGTAAAAAAGAAATGCGCGTTTTCGTTAAAAGTTTATTTTATTATAAAAACAAGATAATAATACATTAATCCAAAAGGTATTCGCGATCTGCATCAATGACTTGTCGCCAACGTTCACGCAGAGAATGGATGCCCTTTCTTGAAGAACTCCGACCGGCCGTGACTCGAAGAAGTTGGATTGACCGGAATTTGGACCTCGCTCGGTTCTGGAACTTTCTCGGCCAAGGAGTGGTGCATTGATCGGAACAGATGATAGTCGGAAGGCGCCAAGTCTGGGCTGTATGGCGGATGAGGCAGGACTTCCCAGCCCATTTCCTTCACTTTCTGCTGGGTGATTTTTACATTACGTGCGACCGAGCGCGTTCTCGGAGGAATTTGTCGACGCCGTATCCACACCTTGACGTCGCAGCGCCTGGTCCACGCGGTCCAATTGGCCTTGGTAGAGGTTCGCCGTAACTGTTTGACCTGAATTCAGAACCTCAAAGTACACCAGGCCTTTACTGTTCCACCAAACACAAAGCATCACCTTTTTCCGTGGATGTCCGTTTTGGAGTCGGCTTTGGAGCTTCGCTGCGGTCCAACCACCGCCGCTTTCTTTGCTGTGTTGTCGTATTGGATCCACTTCTCATCCGACGTAATAATGGAGTCGAAAAACCCACTGTTCTTGGCGCGGTGAGTGAGAATTCCGGCGATTGCGATGGTGTCGCCTGTTTGCGTCGGATAGCTTTATGCGGTACCATTTTCGCATCTATTCGTCTTGCCCATGCCATGCAGATGGTTCTCAATGGTGACGGGAGTGCAGCCGAACTGTTCTGCCGGGTCGCGAGTGGTTTCCGACTCAATGGTTTCCTTCAATGCGTCGTTGTCGATGATTTGAGGTCGACTCGGGTGTTTTTGGTCTTCCAAGCTTTCTTCGCCGTCTCGGCGGCGCTGGAACCATCAAGCCATATACTGACTTTCTTGGATAGAGCATCTTCGTCAAACACTGGAGAAAGAGCGTGATGAGCTCAGCAGCCGATTTGCCTCTTGCTTTCTAAATTCATACCACAAGCAGGCTCGCAAGCGAAATTTTTGGTCCGACATTTTCTAAACACTTCTTCTTGGAAAAAACAAAGCAACATCGACAAATTATATATCAAACGAGGCGCAAGAACACGCTCTTTCCAATAGAATAAACTATTTAAAAAATCTTTTACCGTGAATAATATACAACCAACAAACACGACGCTCATTTCTTTTTGACCAACCTAATATGATTTTAATCATTTTAATCATTTTATTATCATTTTACGGTCGTTTTTATCGTTTTATCATTTTTATCCTTTTATCATTTTATTATCGTTTTTATCATTTTTTATCATTTTTTATTATTTTATTATCATTTTTTATCATTTTTTATCATTTTTAACATTTGAATCACTTTTTATATTATTTAACTGAGCTTTTGTGATTCCAGCAGCAAATGAAAAAATGAAGCTGATCGAATGAAAATCCTGACGACTACGCTAGGGCTAAAATAGATGCCATTTAGGAACGATTCGACACATTCAACTTTCTAATCATTTGAACTCACCATTGCTCAAAGAGCTCAGCCTCAGCGGCTCGTAGCTTTCTTGTAATCGATCCAATTCATCTGCAGATTTTGCACGCCATTCAGATCGGAGAGCAGGTTTGACAAGCTGGACGAGATTGATTCAAGCTGAAAGATTTAGATATCTTGCGGCAAGATTACAGGTTGCAGTAGCACCAATACAAAACCGTCTCACTAGAAAAAGATCACTAACTTAAGGTGGAATTTCAAAACGAGACCAATCCTATCTTGTTCAGTTTTTCACGGGCTTTTCGAATCTCGCTTTTAGCTTTTTCCTAAATAGCTTGCAAGCGCAAGGAATTTGGCTTTCAATTTTTTGCTACCTCTTTGTAAAGCTTCTTCGCTTGCCTTGCCTCTTCGCTTGAAAAATATTCCTGTGACCGAGAGGCAGTGTTCTCTATTACATTTGGTTTTGGTCTTTTATGTAGGCTGATGCTTATGGCTCACAAGCCTTGAGTGGTTCAGGACTGGCGCGAGCAGCATTTCCCCGATTTGACCACCTTTAGTGGCCACCGATCGGCCACCAAAGTGCCGATCTTAATCCGATGTTTGTGTTTTGAATATTCTTGAAGCAAAAGCGTCCCAAAAACCCCATTCTAGCATCGATTCGCCAGGGAAATCTCTTCAAAAAGCTCGATAAACTCGATCCCGCATGTGATTACATATGGTGCCAAAAAATCAGACCAAAATTCTCACTGCGACTCGAGTTATGTGGTGAACGGACAGACACACAAAAATCGAGAAAATGCTGTATACCCGTCCTAAGCCACTTGACTTTGTGAGCCATAAGCATCATCCCGCACAAAACACCAAACCTGTTGTTGTCGTTGCTGTTGGCTGTTGTCGTATTGTCGTTGTTGTCGTTGTTGTCGTTGCTGTCGTTGCTGTCGTTGCTGCCGTCGTTGCTGTTGCCTTTGCCTTACCGTTGCTGTTGTCATTGTCGTTGCTGTCGTTAAGGTTGCTGTTGTCGTTATTGTCGTTGCTGTCGTTGTTGTCGCCGTTGTCGTTGCTGTCGTTGCTGCCGTCGCTGCTGCTTGCTCTTTGCTCTTTACCGTCGTTGCGGTCATTGTCGCTCGTGTTGTCGCTGCTGTTGCTGTTGTCGTTGTTGTTGTCGTCGGCTGTCGTTGTCGTTGCTGCTGCTGCTTGTCGCTATTGTCGTTATTGTCGTTACTGCTGTCGTTGCTGTTGCTCTTGCTGTTGTGCTGTTGTTGTTGTTGTCGTTGTCGTTGCTGTTGCTGTTGTCGTTGTCTCGTTATTGTCGTTGTCGTCGTTGTTGTCGTTGCTGCTGTCGTTGTTGTTGCTGTTGCTGTTAGTTGTTGAAACTATTGGGTTGGGGAGAATGAGTCGGCGCCGAAATTTAAAGAAACTTTTTGCACCCATAAAACCTTCTTTAAATACACGTTTTGTTTCATCAAAAAGGTCCACTATTTCTCTACAAAATGACTTTGAGAGATTCCACAAAGCTTTTCTTTTGTGGGATATTATGGACTCCCAAACACAGCTAGTCAAAATGGCAAAGTGTCCGACTCCTCGTTTGAACAGTTTCTTCCACATAAACCTTCGTTGGTGTCTACATAAAAAAGATAGAGTATACTCAATTGCATAAATTACCAAATTTTCAGGAAGATCCCTCCAACCGTTTACTCTAGATCACAGTTTATAGATTTTGTGAAAAAATGGCCTTTTGTTGAGTTGAGGCGCTGTTTGAGTTCTCTTTTAAATATTATTTTGTAGAGAATTAGTTACCCTTCTACGGATATCAAACGCATATCATTTGACAAAGTCTGCTATAAGTTTTAGAAATTTCTTTGATTTTCGGCGCCGACTCATTCTCCCCAACCCAATAACATTGATGCTCTGAGGCGGTTGCAATAATCCTGCCGCACCCTGTACTCATATCTCACCTGTGCTCCCTGCTCTCGCATCCAAACGATCCGCGCGGCCACCTCGCATAGATATCTAGAAATATTGACTACTGTATCTATAAAGTGTATGAAGTTGATTTCGTTACTGACAACTTTCTGAACTATGAGAAGTTTTGCTTTTTGAAACATGCCAACTTTCAACAGCTACCATAATGCTAGCTCTAATCTTTATCATATTTTTTTGTTGTTTACCTCCCCGCTTGTCCTCCTCGATTCATCCGATCGTCGATCTCGTTTTCTTTGCTTGACAGGACATTGATCAAGCGGGACATAAGGTTTTCTCTAGATTTGAAAATGTGAAATTTTATAGCTTTGGTTTTTTGCCTCACTGTAGCTATGGCTAGCCAAGGCCAAATCAAATCAATTCAAAAGAGAATTGTTTTGACCGTTTTCAGATCTTTTAGGCAAGTCAGCAAGTAGTCAAAACTGAAAAAGCCTACGTCATAAAACAGCTATTGAAAGCTCTACCGTAAGACCTCTACCGAAATTACCCAGCTTTTATCGTGAACAAATTCTTATTTCATTCTCAAACTTACCTCTCAGCCAACATCCTCTCTTTAACCCTCGTTCGACTGAGAAAATTCCTGAACTTCTCCAAATCCATGGCAAGCTGGAAAAGTTGAATTTAGCTTCTATCTAGATATTAAAAGCCTTTAATTACCATATTATTATCCAAATTTGATGGCATGAGTCGAGTTTTGAGGATCGGAATCACCCGTTCGATCATCGGCTCCAGGGAGCGCTCGGTGGCCTGGAAATGAGGGGAATTGCTGGGAATGGCTAGCAATTTTTGCAATGCTGGCAATCGCTGACAATTGCTGGCAACTGCTAGCAACTGCTGGCAATTTTTTGTTCCTAAAAATTTTAGACTAGACCAGGCTAGGCCAAGACCAGATCAGAAACCAGGTCCAGGCCTGGTTCCCGTTCCTGATCCGATCTCAAGCCTTATCCTATTCTGTGCTGATTTGGCTTCTTTCATTGTTTAAACCTAACCCTAGGATTTTCTAAATCTGATTTTCAGTCTGACTTTTTTCGAATTGAGAGTTCGGTTCAATCTGAGCCGAAGTTCAGAAGTTTTCAAATCAAAAAGTGTTCACTTGTTTCCCTTTTTTCTTTTTGTGATGGTTGGTTTGATAAAGATGTTGGTTTAGATAAACTTTTGAAAGATAATTACTTAAAGCAAAGAAACATCAAAGTGCTATAAAAAAAGCTACCATAAATACTGTAATAGTACCTCACCGCCCTCGTACAGTCGCGTAGTCGCAAAAGTTTTTTTAATATTTCATTTTTCTGCACCCGTACTTGTCAAAAAGCGTCTTTGGTATCAAAAAAATAGCTGAAATTCAGGGCTATTTTTTGATACCTAAGCGCGCATTGTAGCATAAACCAGTGTCGAGAAAAACGCGTCCAAAGCTAGACTACGCGACACTCCGCACCGTCATTATGGGGATGGGGTACTATTACAGTATTTACGGTATGCATTTGTCAACACATAATTATTGATCTTTCTTATTGCATTCGGATTTTAGAGCTAAATAAATGTTATCAAATGTTCAGCTATCAAATCTTCAGTTATCAAATGCTCAATAACCGTTTAAAAGTCTCAAACCCTCTTTGAAACGTTCCCTTGTGCGCTCGGGAGATCTGGACAGAGGCCAGATCTGGACTTGGATTCTGGCCTTGCTTGCATGACTTACAAATTCTGGAGATTGCTTTGGATTTGCTTACCTGAATTTTCGCTCTCCACGCCGTTTCCGAGTTGGGACTATAGACGAACGGAGATACTCCAATCATTCCTTTTGATATTGTTTCTAAAAAATAAAACTATTCTTTAAAAATTGAGCTCTATTTCATCAGCTATCAAGTTCTAAAGATTTGCAATAAAAAATAACAAAAAAAAATCGGTTAAAATTTGGAAACTTTTATCCAAGAAGGCTATGCGCGAAAGTAGAAGTTAAAATTTGCAAAATGTTCATAGAAATTCGATGAAACGTATTTTTGATCACTATTCTACAGGTTTAGATCACTTTTTTTATATCACTGAATATGAATTTCAAACTCTTACAACACCTTCAACTTCTCCGATCACATGAGGCTCGTTGAGTAAAGAGGCGAGTTGCTCGGGGAAACTTCGGAGTGACAAAATCTGAGTGAATAGTGAATATTTCGATCTAGTTTTTTATCGATATCTCGTCTTTAAAAGCATATATGTTGATTTAATAAAAAAAAGCATTCGTATCTGAATTAAAATCGATCGTAAAAAACTTGACTAGAACGACCCCCTATAGGAGTTTGTCGCGTAATTGAAGTTTACTCTCAAATAAAACGCTCATACCTTGGCACCAGTGCGTTTGTTTTTGCGCGCTTTAATATCAAATTATATTAGAAAAATAGAGCTATTTTTTGTGATATAACACATATTTTTAGCATTAACCAGCGCCTAGAAAAAGTGATTGAAAAGTAGCAAAAAAGCCGATTTTTCGTCGCTTTTCAAGAGCCGGTTTTCAATCACTTTTTTCTAAGCACTGGTTAATGCTAAAATAATGTGTTATATCACAAAAAAATAGCTCTATCTTTCTACTATAATTTGATACCAAAGCGCGCAAAAACAAACGCACTGGTGTCAAGATATGAGGGTTTATTTTGAGAGTTAAGTTGACCTCGATTTGAGTAAAGTTGACCCTAGACTACGCTAGCTTCTATAGAGCGCTGTTCTATTAGAGTTTTTACGGTATCTTGTACCTCTTCAAGCCTTTTCACGAAACCCTCCATGTATGGCATTTTCACTTCACCACCTCGCCAATTCCCGTCAACACCACGAGCCCAGACTTGAGTGGTGTTCAACCTAAAAAGAAATTACCTTTGCAATTCAAGCCTCAGCTTTTCACTAACTTGACAGTGTCAATCCATTGTTGTGCCGCTTGCAGTGAGACATTCAAACCATCAACACAATTCTTGTCAACCCACAACGAATCGTCGAAACGCTCAGAAATCGTCTCGATCAAGAAATCGGCTAAAACGTGAATCTAGCTTAATAACTACAGTTAACTAAGTTTAATAACTGAAAAGTATCTTATTCTTACCAACGCTAAGCTTTGGTCACCAGTAATACTTATCAGAAAACAGTCGTACCGCAAGAATGGATGAATCTCGCCAATTTTGTCTCTCCATAATCCGTTCCTCTCCACAATCCGTCCACACAATCCTCCATCGATTCCACCAATGTCCCGATCTCCTCGATTTGACCGCCCTGAGAGTACTATTATTTATCTCTTTCTTTCTTTCCTTTTTTCTTTCTTTCTTTCTTTCTTTCTTTCTCTTCCTTGTCTTTCCTATTTCTTCTTGCGCGAAGAAGGCGCCGATAGCTCGGTGGTTAGAGCAATTGCACGGCAAGCAAAAGGTCGAGCGTTCAATTCCTTCTCGGTTTCAAATTCGTTCCCATTCATTTCTTTACTTTGTTCCTACAGTGATTCCAGTTTATTACAGATTACAAACGCGAATCTGTTTTCTAAACCGTTTTCTCTTTCTATCGTAATCTTGTCTTTATTTTTATCGAATCTATTCACTTTTGTATCTTTCGATATCTTTTGTGAACCCTCACAGAATCAGATAAAAATTGAATAGATTAGATAAAAATAGAGACAAGATTACGGTAGAAAGAGAAAAAGACAGGCAAGGTTACGGTAGAAAAGGACAGACAAGATTACGGTAGAAAGAGAAAAAGCAGACAAGATTACGGTAGAAGGACAAAAAGACAGACAAAATTACGGTGGAAAGACAAAAAGACGGACAAGGCTACGGTAGAAAGACAAAAAGACAGACGAGATTACGGTAGAAAGACAAAAAGACAGACGAGATTACGGTAGAAAGAGAAAAACCAGACAAGATTACGGTAGAAAAAGATAGACAAAATTACGGTAGAAGGACAAAAAGACAGACAAGACTACGGTAGAAAGACAAAAAGACAAACAAGATTACGGTGGAAAGACAAAAAGACGGACAAGGCTACGGTAGAAAGACAAAAAGACAGACGAGATTACGGTAGAAGGACAAAAAGACAGACAAGCTTACGGTAGAAAGAGAAAAAGACAGACAAGATTACGGTAGAAAGACAAAAAGACAGACATCAAACAAAAAGTAGATGGATTTCGGCATTTGGCAGCGAGCGACGCTTAAAACAGCGACGTCTCTTAAAACAGCGACGTCCATCTCTTAAAACTCAAAACCTCGTCACTTCAATGCCAAACCGCATTTTTCAAGTAATTAATCGTTCTCGTGCGTGTGCAGATTAGTTTTGATTTTCACTTTTAATTGTTAATTTCAATTTTAATTTTAATTTTAATTTTTGTCGATAAATAAAAATCTTTTCATAGTGCCGAACCTGCGCCGTTTGAATGGCCTCGTTGAGCGGTTTAAAAAGATCGCGTAACGGTTCATTTTTTGTGTCACTCGTCGCCAAAATCGCTTTCACTTCGTCTTTCAATGAACCATAGCCAGCTGGAGATAAAATTTGCATAAAAATGGGTTATTTCAATAGGGAACCATATTTGTAGAGATAAGGAACCAAATTTAGAGAGAGGTGAAATGATAGCGCACGGTTGGATTTGATTTTTGATTTTTTTTTTCCTCACATCTAGGCGATGATGCATTCTGTTGAACGGTGGCCAAAAGAGAGTCCTCCAATTGGGAAACGGCCGCCTCGATCTGTCTTGATCCATTTTCTTTATTCTTTCCGAACACCTAGAATTCAATATTCGCTAACAGTATGCTCAGCTTCAAAGAAAACCTGTTGCACCGAGCTGAGAAAAACTTGATTCGCTGGGCCGTTCACGGTCACCATGTTGATTATCTGAGATTGGGAAATAAGTTGATTTCACTAGTTTTCTTTTTCACTAGTTTTCTATTTCACTAGTTTTCTAGTTCACTAGGTTTCTATTTTACTAGTTTTCTATTTCGCTAGTTCACTAGTTTTGTTGAGATCAAAATCGGACAAGACCAATAGTAAGAATAGAACGAAATCCAGGCCAACTTTACAATTAAATCAAGTCAGAATGGGAACGGGACAAGGGAAGTACCCCAGCTCGCCATCGCCAATCGGCAGACGCACAAAGATTATCTTCTTTGTTATTCTTTTTCTATACTTATATTCTATTTTTATTGAAATATAGAAGGAAAAGAAACAAAAATACAACAAAATCGCCAATTCGTTAAAATCAAAAAGATTCGCGAGACGGGACTCGAACCCGAGCAAAGAATGCCTAGCTCGCCTTGTATATGTCGTAGCCGAAGGAGTCTCAAAAATTAAATCTTGAGTTGTGTATTGACTCAAGTCAATACCACAAACTCAAGCTCTCTAAAGGCGCTTAAAAGCTAAAAACGCATTCTAAAGAGTGCACATTTTATCATACTATAACCAAAGGCTATAAAAGGGCCCTTTTCGTCATTCCGAAAGGCACGGATTTAATCGATCTTCAATCCGTTTCCGATGGAGAATTCAAGTTTTTGATGGTCTACCAGGATCATTTCACAAAGTTCGTCGTTTTGCGGGCATTGCAAAGGAAAACACAATTTGAAGGTGTCGATCATCTAATGGAAATATTCGGAACGTTTGGAGCCCCAAAAATTCTTTAGTCCGACAACGGAAAGGAGCTCGTCTTAGTTTGCTTTTAGGTCAAAGAACTCGTGAACCGGTGGTATTATTGTTTTTTTATTAGTGTTTATAAACTCGCTTTTTGGTATTATTGTTTATTTTGGTCGAAAAATGCAAAATGCAACTGCAACTAGAATACGTTTTTAGCTTTTAAGCGCCTTTTAGAGAGCTTGAGTTTGTGGTATTGACTTGAGTCAATACATAACTCAAGATTTAATTTTTGAGACTTCTTCGGCTGAAATCCTTCATCGGCTACGACATATACAAGCACGTTATCCCCTAAACCATCAGCTCATCTTAGCCCCCCGCGAGAAAAGCCTTTTAAGCTGTTGAAAACTTCGATGTCAAACTAGTCTCGAATTTTGGCTTCAGTATGAATATGCAAAAAATAAGCATATGCAAAAATATGCAAAAATATGTATGAATATGCAATATGAATATCAGTATGAATATGCAAAAAAAAACAAAACGTCCGTCCGTCCGTCACGCCTACGCGACAATACAAATTACGTTAACGTAAAATTACAAGGAAGTGAGTTAGGAAGCTGAAAATTTGTACCCGGGGGTTTTCGGGGATGAGGAATCCGAATCTGCAATCAGATTTGTGCTACGTGCCCTCAGTACCTCTAGATAGAATATCCGCACGGATATCGGAAGCCCCGGAAGCCCAACGGAAGCCCAACGCAGCTGGTACAATGTACAAGTGAAAATTGCGTTTTCTTTAACGAATGCGCAATTTAAAATGGAGCTGATAGCTTAAAAGCTGAGACTGATGAGTTCTTTGAGATGAATCACCTGTTTAAAAGTGTCCATTGGAAGCGGGCCAGGTTTGTTCTTGTAAAAAACGACTCTTCCCTGTGATGGAGTTGAGACATCTTTTGACGATGTCGACATTTCGACGCCTTTCTGAAAAACAAAATAGATGATTTTTTTGAAATACTGATAGAGATAGAGACTGTATTCTTAGATAGAGAAATCTGTTTAATGAAAAGATTGATTTGTTTCATTTTGCAGAAAAATCACTTGAAGTTCTCTACAGCAACTCTTTATCCAGTCTGACCGACTTGCACGAACGTTAGCGCTTACTAGCGCTTTACAGCGTGACTCGTTTACCTTTACTCAACCCCAATCGTTAGATTTTACAGTAACCCTTCTAGTTGGTTGGTTGGGATGGTGAAAAGGATCTCAATAGGAAACGAGGAAACGCAAAATTCAATAAGGAGAATCTGGTTCACCAGTTCACCAGTTCACAAGTCACTCAACCCCATCACCTGATCGTTTCTCGCAATTGTCAACAACGTATCCCGTCCATCGCAAAATGCATCCAAAGCCGACGTTTGTTTCAGTTTCTCTTCGACGATGTTCAGCGAGAGGATGTGTGAGGCAACTCTGAGAATTGTTGATTGGTTATGCGGTGAAGATGAAATGGTGAAAAACCTCAAGAATACGTCCTCCTCGGGTCACCCTTTTCCTCGTTCGTTTTCGACATTCTAGGGGATGGATAATGGATAATGGAATTACGATTTCGATGGAGAATGGAATCCAGTAATCCACGTAAAAACTGATGTAAAATATCGTAAAAGATTTGAGTTTTTGTTTTGAAAACTCAAAAATCGACTCACAAAATGATGGATTTTAGGATACTTTCCCTATAACGGGGGGGATTTTTCCCCATACTCGTGCCAACTACGGCAGCGCCGTAGGTGACATTCGTACTAGCCCATGATGCGCAACCAGGAACTGGCCTCATCAACCGGGAACTGGCCTGCATCAACCGGGGAAGTGGCCGTCAACCGGGAACTGGCCTGCATCAACTGGGAAGTGGCTTGCATCAACCGGGAAGTGGCCTGCGTCAACCGGGAACTGGCCTGCATCAACTGGGAAGTGGCTTGCATCAACCGGGAAGTGGCCTGGGTCAACTGGGAAGTGGCCTGCATCAACCGGGAAGTGGCCTGCGTCAACCGGGAACTGGCCTGCATCAACTGGGAAGTGCCCTGCATCAACCGGGAAGTGGCCTGGGTCAGCTGGGAAGTGGCCTGCGTTTTTTAAAGGCGCCGGAAGCCACGTGACGCGCAGAGAACACATAGAAAAACAAATTTACTGAGTCTAAATAAACCAATTTCTCTGCGCCAATAAGGTGCAGAGAAGAAATCCCCGTTATAGGAAAAGTACCGATTTTAGTATAAAAATTTGAATATTTATCTGGAAATTGAGTTAATTTGCAGTTGAAATATTGTAAAACCCAGTCTACAGCCCAAATAAAGAAATATTTTGTTATTTTAATGAAAACAATTGCTGTAGTGATTTTACGGTTCCCTTAAAGGTATTAATCGCGGCCGGGTGACGGTAAAATTTTTTACGGCAACCACCTGTTTTATTTTAATATCGCTGATTTTATTATAAAAGAATTCAAATTACCCGGCTAGAGTGATTTGATGGGTTTACAAATTTTTGGAGACGCTGCAAGGCTCGCGTAGTTCATCTACAAGGTAAGTGCGAAAGTAAAGCAAAGTCAGACATTATGTTTTCTTTTTGTTTTCTTTAGACTTTCGATCTACACTTTTGGTTTTTAACATCTCTAGATGCCTTTTCCAGATGGAGATTTTATGTTTAGACGCAACGTTTAATGCAAAAGGCCATCAAAACACCCAAAGCTATCTACTAGAGTGTGTTCCTCTCGAGTAATGCGTTTTCTAAAGGCACCTATTTGAGAAAACTATTAGGTTGTCCAATAAGTAATGCGTGTTTGACACGATTTTCAAAATATCACAAAATTAACAAAAAGAGAACTTTATTAATCGATATATTCTCCACAACAATCAACAACATTTCTCCATCGTCCGAGCAAGAGTGAAGTCCGTCATAATAGAATGAAGCTGGTTTCGATGAGAAGAAATTGTCGAGCCATTTTTGCACCTCGTCAACACTTTTGAACTTGTGTTCTCCAAGAGCGTGCGCCATCGAACGGAACAAATGGAAATCAGATGGAGCCAGATCTGAACTATACGGCGGATGTGGGACAGTCCGACCATCCAAGCTTCTCAATCTCAATCTCAAGTAACTTTATTCGTTTCCTCAATTTGTGGGAAGCCACTTTCCGCATCGATTAAATTTTCCAATCTCATGGAGATGATTGTCGATTGTTGATTTGGAACAACCAAATAATTCGGCCAACTCACGAGTGGTTTGAGTTGGATCAGACTCAATGGTGCAAAGCTTCGTTATCAAAAACGACTGGCCTTCCAGCGCGTTCCTCGTCCTCTAACGACTCGTTTCCGTCCGCAAATCGTTTAAACCAGCGCTGGCACTGGCTGATTGAAATTGAATCCTCTCCAAATGCGGCACAGATAGTTCGATGGCAATCCGCTGCAGTTTTACCTCGTTTGAAATCATACAGCATTGATGCGCGGACAACAAACTTTTTGTCTTTCATCTGCAAAGCAACATATCTATTATAAAACAAAGGCAAATGAATAAAATAATATACAAAAATAAACACAAGATGCTGATGATTAAAAAGAGCATATATTTGCTCGAAGCTATTTCGCAATATTTTCGGAAATAAGTAACACGCATTACTTATTGGACAACCTAATAAAACCACAGTCGACCACAAATGGAAAAAGATCTAATTGTGTCAATCAAAGCGCTGAAGACGTCCTAGGGTGGAGGAGATCCAGTCACTTCTGGTGAAAATGGGCTGGAAATTGATAAGATAGGAAGCCGATTTGAGGAACTGCTGTACTTGAGCGAAGATGAAAGTGAGCAAGAGGAAGAATTATAGATTAACAATTTATTTTTATTGTTTTTTGTGCTTTTTATTTTTGCTTTTAAATTTATCTGCAATTAAAACTCAATCGATCTAGACTGTGCTGAGGTGTCTGATGAGTGACGATCTTGTTTTTCTCCAAGTCTTACAGCGTCTCCAAAAATTTGTAAACCCGTCAAATCACTCTAGTCCGGGTGATTTTTATTATTTTATAATAAAATCAGCGATATTGAAATAAAAAAACAGGTGGTTGCCGTAAAGAAATTTTTATCGTCACCCGGCCGCGATTAATACCCCCTTTTAAGCGTGTCCAACTGCAAAGCCTCAGAGTTTCGAATTTCGATTTCGATTTCGATTTCGAACCGATTTCGAAACCGGGTGCATCACTGCGTTTCAAGAAATGGTCTGTTCTTGGGGCCTGTTCGAAAAAGTGCTACTTTCATTTAAAACAAATGTTCAAGATACAGTACTGGACAATGAAATATCATATGCGAAAAACGATCGTCACTTTCGCGCCTCTGTAACTCCCTTGTCTTTGAGTTTAAACTATTAGTGTTATACATTTTCTGAAAGCTCTTTTCAAGGGCTACACAATGGTAATATTAATATTTAGAAATACGGTAAAGACAAGGGAGTTACAGACGCGCGAAAGTGACGATCGATTTTCAAATATGTATTTCATTGTCCAGTAGTGTACATGTAGAGATAAAGAATTGATTCATTCATTCATTCATTCATTCATTCATTCATTCTAATTCGTAAATATAAAGATAATAAAATGAGAAATGTCTTGGTGAAATGAATCTTGGCGAAATGAATTTTTGGTCAAATTAGGCGAAATGAATTTTTGGCGAAATGAAATTTAGCAAAATAAAGTATCTCAGTATTTCTTTAAAACTAATTGTAAGGTTAAAAAATCTTTTAAATATCTTTTAAACAGTTAGCCAAAAAGCTGAAACCCTTGCCATAATTGTCTGTGTGTATTTGGAGAGAACACCATGGTAACGAATTTGCGGCGCGGGACAAGAGAGAGGCAAAGAGGAATGACCCTTTTTCCCTATGTAAGTACTGTTTGTGCTTGAAAAAGAGTTTAACGTGCATCAAAGTGTAGTGTCTCTGCTTTGTGCTCTCGCAGAAACGCTTTCTTCTGGCACACTGCAGGAATAGGCACACTAGGAATAGTGTTCAGGACATCAAGAAGATACAGTTATTTAAAGATTGCTGTATCAAAGCACGATATTCAAGAATTATCGTATCAACGTTTTCGTAACAACGTCAATCGTACGTTTACTTTTACAGGGTGACCAAGAATTACCGCAACAACGTCGTATTATGTTATGAGCCCCATTTCACTTTTTGCTTACCTTTTTTTATGGTTTTTGTGTATTTTTCTTATTTTATGGTATGATTACTAACTTTCAATGCATTTTTTTGTTTTCAGGAATGGTGAAAGCGTCTCCACATCGACAATCGATCCTTGAGCAGCGTGTTCAGGCGAGCGAGATCACAAAGCGCCTGAATGTCCCCAGAAGGCTCGTTTCTCGAACCATTCAACGTTATGAAACTCTGGGCACAGTTTCTGATCGATCCAGGGATCTGATCGCCCTGGAAGAGGTGGTACCAAAACGATTAGCGCAATTTACTCCGGCTAATGTCAAGAAAGTGCGCGATCGTCTAAGATTAAACCCTAACCAATCGGCTCGAGGAATGGCACAGAAAATGGGTCTGTGCAATTACGTTTCAATGAAATTTCTGCAGATTGTGTGAATTAATCCAGTCAGCTCTCATAAAAACTGTTTGAAATTTTAAAAAAGAGAAAGGCTTAACTCACTTTTGAGGCAACCTTGAGTTTTTCTGTTTTTTTGGAATGACTAATTTCGACTGAAACTAAACTAAAGAGTGCTTTTTTGGATCCAATTTCGTTTCTGCGTTGATTTTTAATCAAAATAGAACCAAGCAGCTGAAATTTCTCCACTTTCTTATCTTCACTAACTACATTTTTCGGTAAAAAGGTCAGAAAAATCCAACCGATAACGGAAGTTAAAAATTAAAAGATTCTTTCGCATCTAATTTTCTTCCAGGAAATGAAATTCTTAAAAATGGGTGAGTGTTTTCAATGAATTTACTCTCAAAAAATCATTTTAGCATTCATTTTCTCAGTGTTTTCTCTTCTATTCACAATCTCAACCTATCACTATTCGCATCAATCTGTGAGTTGGTTTTAAACAACTAAAAACGGATCGGCAAGATAAGACTCTACAAAAGTTTTCCTACTGATTTCTACTTGGTCTACTTGATCTACTTGATCTACTTGATTATCTACTTGATCAACTCACTTTCCCCCCTCCTTTAATAGCTCACTTTCTCCCTCTTCTTTCATCTCTCCATCACCCTTTTCCTCATCAATTTTTCGATCATCTTCAACTTTCTTTTCAATAGTTACTGCGGTTTCTTTGGGTATTAAAGAGGTTTCTTTTTGAACATTATCCTCAATGTGTTTCTTAGTTCGACCAAATCCTGAGCCTGAGCCTGAGCCTGGGCCTGAGCCTGAGCCTGAGCCTGAGCCTAAGCCTAAGCCTAAGCGTGCAACTCTCAAAGAATGATCTCTTCTTGTTATGATCCCTATTTTGAGGCAAACGGCTATAACGTTATTAAAAGTTTGTTTTTGATTTTGTTTTTGATTTTGTTTTTGATTTTGTTTTTGATTTTGTTTATTTGTT